AGACCACATAGATTGATCTCCTGTGTTCAGGTCATGTGATATTCACTCATTGATAATAGCTGGCTGAATGGATACATCGAAGATCAAAACAAGAAATTCAGTGGTGATTCTTCACATGGTTATCCTCAACAAATGACCGATGTGACAACGTACAAATAACCACATGCTGAAGAGTAGTTATTATATTACTGTGTATAAGCTGACATTCTGGTTTCATAGTACTTTAAGGAAGTTAAAAGTGAAGACAGATAGCGGCATATCAGTGAAAACAATATCGTTTCGTTTATCAATCATCAGGAAATAGAAAACCTTTTATAATAAAACAGATACACAGTTTATATTAACTTGGCAATTGTTGTGTGACTGCTTCAAAATACGCATCGTAAAATGTGTATAATGTTGATAAGTTAATTTTCAGAAGCTCTCTGTGTGGCCGTGGTCGAACATCAATATCACATATACGGATCTCGATAGCAAGAAATATTGAAGGGAGCAGAAGTATTTCATTTTTGACACTTTGCAGATGTATTTCACTTCACCTTTTCCATTTGTATGTATTCTTCTGACAGTAAGATTTCATCTTTATTCATTTAGGAGTGGCACTAGCGTAAACTGAATCTGTCTTGATCAATTATGTCTGTTTATTCCTTCTATGCAATGTGCTTTAGTTTCTACTATTCGCCAAATGTTTTTAGCTTAGCTGCACATTGAAATAAGCGAGTTGGAGATACACTTATATATGACCTGTGTCAGCAAATGCAATACTACGTCCAGGGCTTACTGATGATTGTCATCAAACACCTAATAACATATTGAATGTATTTCATCCGCTCACACGGAAAGGTATTTGAGATTCATCCACCTTATCTTTATGTTCACGATTCTGTGGCTTATAACTGTATATTTGTTCTGGACGTTTGTCGTGAAATGCATCAACTGACCAAAATCACTTACAGTTATTCAGATAACTTTAGTGAATCAAAGTTTATGCTGAAATGCCAAACTGAACTTTATCATGCTGGACAAACAAGATGATGGTATTTCCTAGATTTTGTTCCCTTGATAAATTTCGATAGAGAATGAAAGACCAGTTTTCCAGTATTAAATGATATCATCATTCTATTTCACAGGTTCTCATCAGCTGCAGACTAACTGAAATTAAAATGATTATATAGATGATAATGACATACTTAAATATTTATTTGGTAGTAGAGAAGAAATGCTTAAAATATGATGCATCCAAAGTACAAGCATTACAAGTTTTAGTTTAAATTTTCATCATCAATTTATACGCATTCAAAGTGGAAAGGAGGGGGAAGGGGTAACACATAAAACAGAAAAACCAACAGACAGTGTTAGCTTCTAAGTTCACATAGCAACTCGAAAAACAAAAGGTGATGCTAAATATTTCAGGTGAATCTCTGACAGAAGCCAGATTAAGCCACACTTTACTACAAGATATCCACAGAGTAGAGACCAAACTGTTCCTCAAGGATTTTCATGTGAATCTAGGTGAAACTAAACGCATTGACTATGTCAAACACAGTCATTCTACAAACATCCACAGTAAAGAAAAAGTTTGGTTGACTTCAAAACTTTCGTTTCGTTTCATATTTCGTTGTTCTATGAATTCACCGCTTTTCATCAAATAAAACTACACGGTTCAAATTAAAAAGTCGTTATCTTAAGCATTACTTGGTTATGCATGCGAAAAAAGTGATTAGGCTCATAAATAAAGAAAACTTTGTTTGAAATTACTTAACACTTCAGAATAAGTGTAAAAAATTACGAGTCAAAGTTTAGAGAATAGAATGGATATATTTACTTGAAAATTTAGCATTTGTTTAAACGACTCTTATAACATCGAGCGTTAGATGGCTTTCGTTTCAAAGGTTAGCTGTTCATTTCTTTAAATTTTTCGTTAGTATCGTTTTTTGTGATTGGTCTCAATATCTCAAAGGCTTCATTCTGTGTGTAATCTTAGCTCTTCAAATTTTTTGATAACATGGTTTATGAGTTCCAATACTTGTAGTCAATGTCGAGCAGTGATCATAACATCAGAGAAATGTTCATTTGAAAGAAAATCCTTTTCATCTAATCTCTGTTATCTTTCATTATGTATTATATTGAAATTCTATTTATTAAATTATATTAAGATGAAGTGAAACATATATGAAAATGCATTGAAAGAGTTCAATCAAACCTAATTTTGACCATGTAGCATACGTGAGCAGCGTTAAGTGGAAGCCTCATTATGTTAAACTGAAACGTGTAATCCACTCACTAAGGGTTTTTATGATTTTTATATGAATATATAGATAGCTATGCCAAGATGAATTTATGGAATTTTATCAATCTGGCTATTATTTGCTTATTTAATATGGACTATATTATGTGTGCTTCGAAGGATTTGAAATTTTCATAAAAGCCTAAGATGAAACCGCTTGAAATCTTTATATGCATCAAACATTCATGTTGAACAGTTTAACATGACGATCCACGGGTTTTGTGTAAATTCAACGTTTTGCGGATCTGTAACCACCATGAACAACAGACATCTGATGACAGCTTTATCCTTTTAGTTGGCATAAATTGTCTGTATATTTTCTGAGTTATAACTTATATTTAATGAATCTGTTATTATTCAGGTGGGAGAAATGAATAAATTCGGGTGGCAAGATTATACAACAGTCGCGTGTCTGTAAGTCTAGATGTCTGTTACCTTTCAAATAAAAACTAATGGTAGTAGATGATTGTCACTAGTTTTATAGCAAATGCTGATTATAATCTCAAAAACGTACCGTCCAGCCACGGAGAACTAGACACATGAACTAAATTCAGCTAATGATCTAAATGTTAGGTCTGATGCCATATAGTGCTTGCATGCCACTTTACCCGTCTTCGTCATCTACCAGAATGCTTAACATAGTTTACCTGCTGTGATTCAACAAATTCACTAGGTGTTTACGATTGAGACTAGGGAAAATCAGAAGCCTAAACTTTCCCATATGAGTTGTATGAACAAAACCGTTAAGATATTCCAAATTATAAATATTTATTTATCAGAAATGACATATTATAATCAGGGTGAAAAAGTTAGAGCATTTGAACATGTTTCCCCAGAATCTTCAAAAGGAGAATATACTGCGGTGAACATTATGATCATTTCCAACCACAAACAGAATGCTCGGAATATTATTGTGCAATAAACATCTTTGTATGCGATGCAAAATCGTAGTCTATTCATCGTCAGGAAGATAGCCTGCAATGTCAGAAAATGAAGACAAAGAGACAGTATTTCTTTCGCCAAACAACTGTTTCATTGATAAATATTTTACTAGTTTAGCTACCTGACAGGCATTCACAATCTAGAAATAAATTAAAAATACACCTTTCAGGGAGTGGTTTCATCATCAGCATCTGATCTGATTTATGCATGGCCGTATATCACTCGCCAAAATATTCCATTTGATTCAACGGATGATAAACGTTGCAAACAATGAAAGGAATTCGTCTTTTCCTTAAAACATGTTAATTCTCAACTCAGGGTTCTCTCTTATAAACAGATAGAATGAGTTTTAATGGAACATAACAATTGAACATATATTTTAGCAAAGGGAAACAGAGAATGTTAGTCTAAGTTATGCAGTATGAAAGTGACTGCCAATTGAAAAATCTACTCCAAGTTTCCTTTTTCTTTCATTCCTGCTGTGATGGATTGAGTTCAGAGATAAACTACCAACTAAAAGTTAAGTTTGTACTAACCTACGCTGAAGGCAGCAATTTTATTCTCAGTCAACATCACCAGGCAGTATAACTTATCATCCTACTAACGATTTGCAGAGAGCCGAAAACAATGGAGACGTTTGGCTGAAGTCCAAATTTCCTCCAGGGATTGAAACAAGCAGTAATTATACTAATGATATGCGCAATTCCGTTAAGTTGAATGATGAAATATCATGTTGTGCGCGTATACACTGGTGTGTAGATGTGACGAAAATGTTTTTGTTTTAATTGTGAGCAGAATTGTTACAATAAAATAATCGAATCGTACATAAATTTTGAATAATACTGCATATACAAAATATTCAGAGCATATAAACGAAAAGAATTCTATTTGGTTTGCTACAGACAAAAAGGATAAATCGGTGTAATTTTTACCACTGAGCTCACTATATTTACCCTCAAAGTTATCATGAATATAAGACAATAGAACTTACTAACACCATAGCGAGAATGAAGCTAACACCAAATGAAATCTTTTGTGCCCTCTGAAAATGTGAAAGTAAAATGGGATAATTTGTCAAAGCGAATCGAAGTTTCAGTTATTCAAAAATCTACACTGAAATAAGATTACTGAAATTGTTGATGAATCAACTTTGCGTACATTGACTTGGAGTAATAGAAAGCTGCTAACTTAAAGTAGTGGCCGGTGCGGCATTTCAAAATGACCCAAATAGTGACACTGGTTTGAACTAGTGTTTTATAGATGTCTGAATAAATCGTTTTGCTATATTGAAATCAAACTGAAATACTTAACAGCCGACCCTAGCCGGTGTTACGATCTCAACAAGCATACAGCTTCCAAAATAAACTCAATATGAGCCGTGTGCAATTAAACTCAAGCAGTTGTCTTCTAGTCCATTCGGTCACTCAGGACTAATATTCTTCCTTCTTCAGGTTTTTCAAAGTGAAGTCTATTTTGATAGTGTTGGCGGATCTAGAGAACTAACCATGCAAACATTTGCGAAACTCACAAATTTTTTTTGACCGACGCACACTAATGTCTTTATCGCCCTCATCGTCTTGCTTTCATCCTACTCTTAATACTATTACACAGACAACCCGCTCATCTTCTCTTAACACTGTGACCACGAATAGCAATCTTACAATAATTTGTCTCAGTTGTGTGTTAGCGACCTTCCAAATACGTGACATCCAATGAAAAATCCTTTTATATTTATCCATTCCCAATAAGACAAATATCTCATTTTCAATGAAAACGTAATAAATCAAGTTGAGATTTTCAAAAATATGGAACAATTGAATAATACCTTTTCAGTACTACCTGATACGTATTCAACAATGTACATAATTATTCCAATAAGCACGGAAGCACATAAAACTGCAAAAAGTGTAATGGTGAACAGAAAATTGGAATTCCTCAGGTACAGAGCCATAATGAGCGCAACTGCAGTCAACACGATCGTCGCACCACTTGCTGCCAAAGCTGTCAACAAGTGAACAGTTTTGAACACACTGGCGAAACCCATCGAACATAGCACGAACTGAAATGAAAGAAAGTATCAATTTACACATTACAACAAAGTACATATGAATACGAGGCGGACTTGTTCAGTGTGTAGACTTTATTACGAAATTGTACTACTTTGCTGAATTATTAGTAAAGTGGCCTCATTTACATCGTTGACATATCGTTGTTACTCCCAGAAATTCATTAGTCTTGATACGACCGATACATGACCACACAAAATAAATATCATGTTCCTGATCTTCATCCACATTCAATAAGATCTTTGAAATGTACAGCTGATAAAATAATCCATTTTAAACGGGATCGAATAAAGTGAATTTATGTGAGATCGCTCGCACTGTGAAATGCATGTTTCGGAATTTGTGTATCACTTGATCATTTTATGTGCTACTTTAACATGCAGTAAGGCAAGCAGAGACATGTATGTAAAAACTGAGTCAACATTCCTTTTACCATTGCTGATTTTGATTAATCCTTTTGAACACATTGTTGTGATACTGACCCCATGTTCGTGTTGAATGACAAATGTCTGCTCATGGAGTGGATGTTGAAATCGCATTCGCTGAAAAAATCGCGTAGACACACTTTAGCCTGAGATTCAATCAATGTTAAGGAATATTTCCCCACATTCAAATTGTATTATCTTAGTTTTTTCAATGTGATACACATAGATGCTTGTTATACGTTATGAATACGATCCAGATGAATGCTGGTGCTTAGTGAAGATGCTAACAATGATACACACAGACGGCAGCGTACGTCATCAAAACACATTGCTATTTCTCATAAATACATACAAATGCTGGAGAGCTTAATGAAAAGATTGCCACAAAAATAGATTTTTAAAGGTATCTCTAGATATCAATTCCATCTACAAAATATCCAATTAACTGCGATATACACTACGTGGTACACAGTTGTAAGAAGTGGCTGCTGTGAGGTTTATGCTCCTGATTTCTTCATATATATGACAGTTCCTTTTGTCTCTTTCATATGGAAGCTTACATCCCTTGAGGCTTAAAACCTTTCGGAATATGTCTAGTCATCAGCCAGTTAGGATGAGAACGTAAACGAATTCAATTCCATGTTCGATTGACGCGAACAAATATCAAATAAGTCATTTGCATACAAATATTCTTCCAAAGGCCTTAAATATTTACCAGTTAATTCGTGTGAAACAGAAAGGGTGAAACACTTACACTGATTCCTATTAGAAAATGATCAATTTCACGACGATATCCGAGAAGTTTGAGTAATGAGAGAACAAGAATTGGAAGTGTCCCAATTAATCTGAAATGAGTAATTAATATTAGTCGATTAGTTCTGTTTTGAAATCGAGCACAATATTTGCATCATCAAAGTGTTTCCCTCATTAAGTGACTTAGTGTGGTACTGCTGCAATAACCATCTGTTATATGATATATGACTGACTACATGTTTCATGCAAATTATACGAATTCCTTTCTATTTGAAATGTACCTGCATATATGCTTCCAGCAGATATTTAACATTCATGCAATCAATAAGCAGGCAGCAGAATGAACAGAGAATACACAACGCAAATATCTAAAATGAACAACCTTTTCATGAGGTCTCATCGGAATGGATAGGCAATTCATCAAACTTTCCATGGAAAGCAGTGTGTACACATTTCACGTGGAGACGTTGGTTGAAAACGTTATAAGATGAACTTACATCAAAACAATTGTCACCCAGCTGTGGTCTTTAATCCAAAAACAAAGTTCTTTCCTGTAAAAAAACACACTTATTATGTTGATGTTATTCCGGCCTACACTTTGTTGACCATAACAACCATTGTCAATGTCACTAAAAGCATCAACATTGTGTCAATTATCATCTGCATGGAGCAGTTTCATAACAACGTGTTAATTTCTTACCCAGACGAAAAAGTGTAGAAGACTACCTGGTCTCAGGCTCAAATGTGTATTTTTCAAATGGTTGGATCTTTCATGTTTCATGGACATATTTCGACCTATAGAATATTTTCAAAAAAACAAAACAGTTCAAAGATAAACTTAGCCCCATAATGAACGATGTGCACGATGTAAATTACTAGTGAATGGAGTATTCACATACAGATAGAATTTAATATATCACTGATATTATTTGTTTTATGCGCATCTTCTATGTGAATGGGCAAGTTCGCAGCTATTTATCACGAAATATATTGTACGTTGAACAACGATATTTAGGGTTCATGCACCATTCGTCCCTCGACAGTCATAATATTAAAAGTTTCAAAGTGGAATGAGTGATAAATGCTGAGAATTCCATTCTGTATTATAAGTACTGTTTTTCGAATTATTATTATTATTAGCATAAATGTCAATACTGTCTCCAATAAGGACAGTAGTATTGACTATACGTTTTTACATAGTTGAATAAAGATGAATGAAGAAAATGAAGATCTCTCTTCAAAATCATCAAACGAAAACGTGCTTAGTCTGACCACCTTTACTTATTTTGGTGAGTTAGGACTGTTTCCGTTATATACAGGATTCAGGCTTTCATAGTGTGAGTGTAACAGAATCATTTACGTTGAAAGGATCTGTTATTGTCAGTATGTGAAAGTATAAGCTTGTGCTGATCTATGGACCTTTGTTGTCTGGTTTCCATCCCGCTGTGGTGCATGTCAAATACCCTCAGGCTATATGACCAATAACTACAGTTTAGATAAAACGTCATTTTCCAAAAATAATGGCTGTCGGATTCTCAGTTAATCAATCACTGCTCTGTACTTTGACACGTCACCTTATATGAATCAATCATATTTCTTTCCAGGGTCCATCTTCGGTGACAGCCATCATTGACGTTCATGGATATTTATGAACATATAATTTGCAGAGCGCATACAACGTTATGTATATGATCAGCAGTATAAATCAAGTTTGTGGAGATACAAATATGACTTAATGAAACTGATGATACATATGTCGTTCAAAACTTACCCATCATGCCTTCAGCTGTTCTGTTCTCATAAATGAATAATTCATCGAAAACTTTTATATAATACTGTTGCTTCATTTTTTGTCTCTCATCAAGTGGTTAGCTGAAAAACACTTGAACTTTGGTCTTCAGAGAGAATTAAAATATTTTCATTTTATTCTAATGATTGATGTGAACGCATCAATGATATTCAAGGAATTGTGATTTCGATGAGATGTCTTTAATGATTGGTTGGTTTACTGTTACTACAATTTAGCTTGCTTACATTAACGAATCAAGAAGGTTCAGTGCCGTTGCCATAATCTCCCAATAGCTGAATGACTTATATTTGTAATTATTGCAGGTATTCATTTCATGATGAAACAGTTCACAGTGTTTGTTCGTCAAGTTTTTATTTGCAGGGACTTGATTGGTTAGAAGGTTGGTCCACAGCTGACATCAGCGACAGATCCATTAGAAAACCTGGTGTGGTGAGAGCTGTCTACTAGCCAAATTGGTAGACAGTAATTTACGTCAATATTTACGTCCCCAAGATTTGTCGTGAGAAAAGGTGAACAAAGATTGATTCAAAACCGACCACAGCAGACTTTGCGTAGGCGGATGCAGTTAACATATAGAGGATTTGACATTCAAGAAACAGTCACAAATAGATGAAAGAATAACTTTACGTGAGAAACAACCAATCTGAAGACTGTGTTTGTTTGCTTAAATATCCATAGTAATGTACATGCAAATATATAAATATGCGTTGATTTCCTTAATAAATGATCTGTTGCCTGACTCTTGCCTTCTGTCGTTACACTGGGAGTCTTGGACTTGTGTTCGTCATCGTTTGAGACTCTCCATGAGAAAGCACTCACTGGATTTCGAAACCAGGACCTTTCAGTTAGGAGACGAGGTCGTGTGCCACTCAGACACTGGAACTCGACCCAATGGTCCATGCATTTTAAATTTTGTCGATTTTTAAGGGATGATACAAAATATGAGGATAAAAATCCCGGTTAAAGTAGAAATATGGAGCCAGTATATTATAGAAACACAGATTTTGAGTTATAAGTATTATTAGGTACTCGATAATACAATTAGAGCCCCCTGATTTACATTAATTATATAATCCACAGAAGCGTTCACTTCTAAGGTTGTATCCACTACTAGAAATTGTTTACCAGTTTCAGAATAATCTCCGGATGAGGATGACAGGTTCCTGCAAATTTCGGAGGATACTGTATGGTAAGTTGTTAAGCATGTAGATAGTGCGGACCAGTGAGAAGACAAAGTGACGTGCAGCATGCTTAATTTTAATTGCACTTCAAAGTTACGAATATATTTACATTAAATAGTTTTGAACAAAAGTTATGTACAGTATTTTCATTTTAACATTTAACAAAAGTCTGCATAATCATATTGATCAGGAGCTGATATAATTTAGAGAATCTTTGGAAAACCTGGGAGTACTTGACAACTGCTTCATCCTGGTTTTTAATGGATTCAACACTGCACCTTGCAATGAACCTGCTTCAGAATGAATTGTTCATATTTACTTTTAATTTGAAGTGGAATCTTCGAAATTGTGCTGAGATCACTACTCTCTGACTAATACTACAGAATTATGGTGTATCTATAACTTACATAATTAAACCGAACACAATCAGCAATGGAAAAGGTGTATGTGAGATGAATTTATTCTGAACATTGTACAAAGCTTATTTATATGATAAGATTTATGTCAGGACTACATTTCAACTGGAAGAAATACAGTGCACTAAAAACTGGCTATAATAGCCTTTTTATTACAGTGATCACAAAACTCATTTTTGGTCAGTACTTTTTCCACATTGCATCAAAACGTTCAGTGGTGGCAGGAGCGTCAACCACACGTGATGCATAGAGCCAATTCCCGTGCGACGTTCTTCATAACCTCGCAATTTCGGCAATATAAAAGGTGAAGAAGAACGTTTGGGCGAAGAAACAATGCCACCGTAACTGAAAATTCAAGGCCTCAAGCAATATCTCTCACACAGAACTGACCAAATTGGAAAGCACCACTTTAAACTCCTTAAAATAAGGATACTCATTTTCAGTCAGGAACAGGGGTAGTACAATATAACTTACAGAACATGAAATTACGTCTACTATAGGTACCGTGGAGCTTACTACACGAATGATTTCGTTTGTCTAAAATCCTGCATTGCATGTGAGGCTAAATACGTGGGTCTGATTAGTAGGTCGGAACAATTTGGATTAGTGGGGCAGAAAACTCAACCAATTCAAGATCAGTTGACCTCGGTAAGGTAACAATGTTGAGACAATGACTGAAAAATACTCATCGAATTACCGTGGAATATGTGCACGAGTAGTGATTTAGCAACTTCCCCAGAGGTCTTAAAAAATATACTGTCCTTATGATAAGTGAAAAAGAAGAAAGAGAAACATAAAATTCAGTTGTTTGGGCATTATAGGTATAAATCGAACAAAATTAGGAACGAGATTCTATGCCACAGATTTCAACTAGGATAACTAGGATACATGATTTCTGATTGTCTGCATGAATGTGACTCCCACTTCTCATCAATGGAACCGTGGTTGACCGAAGTTTTCATCTTCGCGTGACAGCTCATGATCTGAGAATGTCACTGGTGTCAAAGACATATAAGTTTTCTGATATATTGCTTATGACCAGTACACTACACCAAAGCGAAACGAAACTGTGCACAGGTGATCTCATCAAGCTACATAAACCAGGTGTAACTAGGAAATTTAAAAATGCAGTAAATTTGATATACATCGTCGGAGCAGCAATTTACATGGCATTCAGCACTAAAATTGGCATGCCATCGTCCCTCGCTAAAGGATTTAAATTGTATTCATTGATATTTCAGAGGCCATAATGAGTCCAATATTTGTATTTTCTATCATGACCTCAAACAACGCAGTGTGTACGTTTCTCTCTTGCAGCCACCCTTGAAATTAGTCACATTCTGTTGGGCCCAGTGTATGGAATGAAAGTGGAATTCTTTATTACCAGTTGTTATGATGGTAGGTTGATCACTTACAAACAAATGGTTACTGTAGATATTTGAATGACCTTCGCGAACACAAGACTTTCTGTGATCATTAAACGTATCCACAGTCATCATAGAATTAAAGAGTCACAGCTCGAACTGGGCCAGTTAGAATCTTTTCTAATAAATTCACCTGTTTCCTTTAGCTTCAAGGCATAACCGCAAGCATAAACTTTTGAAATCTCACGGTTATCCATGTACCAAGACTACTGTGAGCCAACATCAATCGCATTAGTGAGTCGCCTGAGTTTCATCCGTGGCGATTTGAACGGTGTAAAAGCGGTGACTTTAATAATCGTGCAGTTACAGAAAAGGAAGAAGGATATGGTGTTCAGCAAACAAGCCTTGCAGATTGTACAGGTTAGGAAATATTTGAAATTTTTCGCTGCATACTAGGCATAAAGAGTAAACCGACAAATAATTCTATGCAGTCTGGACCAATATATATATATATACTACCACTTAAGGAAATACCTTTCTAGGACATTAGACCAATACTAGAAGCTGACCAGGTTTCCTAGAGTTAAAAGCAGTGTGATGAAGCAGATATCGTTTTTTCAGTTCATAGGGATGAATGGGTCTTTAAAAGTAACTTTTCCTCGTATATTTGTCGATAAACTCTTGATTGTTAGTCCAGGGATCTGAATCTACAATCACAATCTCCTTTTTTTAACTTTTAGAAATCTTTAAAAAGCAGCTTCCCTGCTACAAACCAAATTGACTATCTTCAAGCATCGGGATAGGCTTAATGGTGCCTATTTTCGTACGTACATGGATCTTCGATCCTATAAACTACCTTGGTGTCTTCGCTGGACATTTAGGTTTCTGGGTTGTTGTTTTGTTAGAGCTCTTTATCAAATATCTCGTAAATCATTCTGCATTCATGTTGTTGCTATTAACAAGAGGCGAAACTTGAGCCGTCGTTACAGGCACCCTCACTGTCATTTCGAGTGGCGTTTTCGTTGTGCACAGGTCTTCTCTACCTCCATATCTCTCTTCTAATAGCTTGTGAGAATCTGGTACATCGTTTTCGATACGTATTCCTGCTTTGCTGACATGAAGCCATGGAAAACGTCTGTTGCTAACAGTTTCATGGTTAGGTACTATGGTTCTATCAAGCTGAATACTGGAAGTAGTATAGACATTTCATACTTGAATGGTTTCTCTAGTCATCAGTTATTCTATCCAAAACAAGACTCGTTCACACGGAAATGTGTTAGAAGTGTTGAATGTATTCAGTACTGAGGTCTCTTTCGTACCCTTGATAACTAACAAGTCAGTCAACTGAACACTTACAAACATAACATTTTCTCCGTTATCTAGTAATGAACGTGCTTTATAAAATGATTTAACTTCCCTCACTATGACGGATAAAATAACTCAGTAGATTTCTGAACGTCATGTGGCTTGAACATGCTATTAAGGTTAACAGAATTCTCAACAGTCAATGCAATCCGACTAAACCACTACTACATCCTATACATGTTTACACTTCCTTTTTTCAGATTTTTCTATCAAACAGTTAAATTGTGGTTGGTTCTGCCTGACAACTTGTATTCTGTCGGATGAAAGCATTCCGCGCATATCAACACACTCACCAAGTCGATGCACATTGCCACAGATCACTCGCTTTCCTGAACATCCACTGTCTTGAGAACCCTTTATCACTAATGATCTCGCTCTAATCACTGACTTCTTTATTTCAGAAGTGGGATTCAAAATACTGGCAAACTTACTCATTGTTCGGTTAATGCTACATTTCATTAGTCCCAAAATTCTATCAAACCCTGGCTCGAAGCCTTCTTCTTCTACATAGGCGGTGATCTTGACCCCAAGGTACTCTTTAATCGGGTCAGTGAGCTTCCGTAAATTCCTTCGTAGACAAAACTTGGATTCAAGTCACTTTAACAATTCAGGAAAGTTAAAGTATTTTCATACATCATCAAGGTGTACAAA